AAGGACGCCACTAGGGGCTCCTGGCATTGCTACTAGTAGCTTAGGGGCTGCTGGCCTCACTACTAGGAGGAAGGACGCTACTAGGGGCTCCTGGCCTTGCTACGCTACTAGAGGCTCCTGGCACTACTGCTAGGAGCAAGGACGCCACTAGGGGCTCCTGGCATTGCTACCAGTAGCTTAGGGGCTGCTGGCCTCACTACCAGAGGAGCAAGGACGCTACTGGGGGCTCCTGGCACTACTATTAGGGCCACTAGGGTTAGGGGCTGCTGGCCTCACTACTAGGAGCAAGGACGCTACTAGGAGCTCCTGGCCTTACTACTAGGAGCAAGGAAGCTACTACTACTGGGAGCAAGGGCGCTGCTAGGGGCTCCTGGCACTACTACTAGGGGCAAGGACGCCACTAAAGGCATTGCTACTAGTATCATTCTTACAGAAGAAGCGATCTGTAGGAACCACCAGAGTGCTGACGATGAGATGTTGGGATCCCAGCAGCTCGCCGGGCCTGCGCGGCCTGCGGCGCAGCCTGCCGGTGCTTGCTGAGGACGATCAAGTGTGCCTACAGACGGGCGTGCCGCTTTATGGACAATGACAACTACAAGGCCACAAAATGTAGCACCATGGGAGGGGAAGTTGGGGTAGCCTTTTGTTCAAGAAGCTAAGTGCCATAAAGAATTGGGAATCGTTTCGATCATGCGAACCCGAGCCCTTCTGAGTACCGCGCCTATTAGCTTCCTTGCAACGACTTACCCTTGCTACTACTCTCCCTACCTACCTGGACCTCACAGCTTTCTCTGTCAGGAATGGATAGTTCAACTTCAAGACCCAAAAGCAAGGACTTGGCTGCACTGGGACTCAATCGCAGAGCACTGGGAGCACTGCCTGGAGCACTACTTTGATTTTGGAGGGGCTTTTGTTGTCAACATCATCTCACAAGCTTTTGTCTGGACTGAGACCAAGGCAGAATCACAAGGAGTTGGTGCACATGAAGTATTTCTTCGACCAAGGTGTGCCTTACAAGGTTTTCTTCTCTTCCAGCAACCATCTACGATATAAATACATATATACAGACATATACACATATCAATAAAATATCTAATTTGTAATACCTAATATGTAACATACAACGCATATAGTATACAGTATGTATGTAATATATATATAGATATATGTGTCAGTTCTTTTTTTTCTCTCTCTCTCTGTATATATGGGCTCGTGGACTTTTCGGGGTGCCCTGGGAAGCAATTCATGTTGAATCATCTGACCCAACTGTATCAAATCCTTCAACTATTCATCTGATCCAACTGTATCATCTGATTCAACTGTATCATCTGCACCAACTGATTCATCTGATTGATCTGATCAATGGCGCCCAAGAAGGCAATGTTTGTGGCTATGGGTTCTGAAGTAGAACCTGGGCGGTTTTCGTTGGATTTTCGGACTGTGGACCCTGTCATCTACCGTCCAGACCCAAGGACTGATGCTGAGCCGTCAGTGCCAGTGCCCAACGCCCATGAACTCCACCTACACCTCGTCAGTGGCCGCAAAGCAGCGTGTGAGCCAAAAAAACAACGAACGCCGAGACAGATTCAAGCGCGTATTCACTATGTCCAAAGAAGCTTGAATTTAGCTCCTGGCATTTCTGGCCAGTGGTCTCGTCAAGCGCAAGATGTTCTCGACACGTGGCTCTTGAAAGATTTGAAGGGCGTGCAGAAAAAGAATATGTTGGCGTTGGAGTACAAACCAGCTGCTGAAAGTTCCTGCTCAGAAGCCGTTGGTGAGGAGGATTGCTCAGAAGCAGTTGAATCACAGCCAAAAGATGACAACATCTTTGAGGACGATTGCTCAGAAGCCGTTGAATCACAGCCAAAGGATGACAACATCGTTGAGGAGGATGGCATCAACGAGACACCCCCAAGGATGGTAAGGCCAATGCTGCACCTTCATCATCTTCGTCTTCTAGCTCATCTTCATCGTCATCTGATCGTAGCAAGCGTCGCAAATTAGAACTGCAAACTGCATTGACACACCTGAAGAGCTTAGAAGAAGTTCACCGCCTCGAAGATATGGGCGGTTGTCTGCGCAATATACTCTCTGCAATGAAGAATATCAATGCAGCTTTGCGCATGTAGAAAGCATGTAGAGTGTCGAGAACCTGGACGTATGAAAGGTTTCATGCAGTCTGTGTACAATGCTTTTGTGAGAGTATATATATATCTCTATATATATGGGCGCGCTTTACGGTATTAGTATTATATCTTATCAATTGCTTCATCCCAGGGGGCCCCGAAAAGCACACGCGCCTATATATATATATATATATAAATGTGTGTGTCAGTTTTCCGTGGTGGAGATAGTGCAAGCAACATCTTCTGAGGGCACGACCATTTTGACAGAATGAACTGAATGTCACTCCGTAATTTTTAGGTCGTCGCTGGAATCAGTACATTCTGTATTGTTTCCAAAATGAACTGAATGGGCCAGGCCGGGGAACCTTTGACGTGCTGTCCGGAAACATGCCCTTGACAGCGTTGGCCACTAATGCTGCTTGGTAGCTATTCCAAAGGTGGGACAATAGGTAGTTTCTCATGCATTTTTCATACTTGTTTGAAGATGCAGCATCCTCGTTACTGACTTCTTGGCAAAGCCAAATGTTGCCAAGACAGCTAAGGATCAGACCGTTGAAAAACGCAACCTGTGTAGATTGGGTCGGGGCTGAGGGGCACGATCAGGAATCGGCATGACATTGCCGCTGTTTCACTGAGCGCGAGCGCTTCTTTGATCCTTTCGGCATCATCGCATTGCCAAAGAAAGCCTGTGCTGCCTGTGCCATCAGTTTTGAGAATTTGTGGTGGCGCCTTGCTTTACTTGCCTTTGCTTGTGACAAGGCTTTTCATTGAAGTACAGACTTTAAGATGCTTGATATAACCTAATAGCGATGGCCTCCAACCTAAGAGCAATAAACTACTAGCGATGGCCTTCAAACTACTAGCGACGGCCTCCAAACTACTAGCGACGGCCTCCAAACTACTAGCGACGGCCTCCAAACTAGCGATGGCCTCCAAACCAAATTACTAGCGATGGCCTCCAACCTACTAGTGATGGCCTCCAACCTACTAGTGCAACCCAAATAGTGATGGCCTCCAACCTACTAGTGATGGCCTCCATAGTGATGGCCTTGATAGATGGCCTCCAACCTACAGTGATGGCCCTCCAACCAAATAGTGATGGCCTCGGCGGCCATCACGAGGAGGTTGGAGGCCTCCAACCAAATAGTGATGGACTCCAACCAAATAGTGAAGGCCTCCAACTAAATAGTGATTGCCACCAACCAAATAGTGATGGCCTCCAAGCTAGCGATGGCCTCCAACCTACTAGTGATGGCCTCCAACCTGCTAGTGATGGCCACCAACCAAATAGTGATGGCTTCCAACCAAATAGTGATGTCCTCCAACCTACTAGTGATGGCCTCCGACCAAATAGTAATTGCTTCC